AGGTGAGGCTTAGAACTTCACCCTCCCTGTTTTGAGAGAAATCTTCTGCATCCGTGGATGTTTTGTTGCCCTTGTCTAGCTTGGATTAACACATAGTCTACAGGCACACACCTGATCATCTACAATTGCTCTCTTACAACACTAAACTATGTTTTCTACCTTTATCTTGCATCTACCTGCCACTTCAGCATTTTATTAAAAAAATAAAGTAAAAATAAGGGAGAAATGTGGGATTCACATATAAATCAAGTATAAAAATCAAATGAATAATCATATATGACTTGATTGTTTATAGTTCATGATGCATGATCAAAACTGAAAGTTTCTGTGATATGACTGCCCTTGCACTGTTCACCATGTAAGAACTTATTCACTATGTAAGAACTTGTTCACCATTGTAAGAACTTGTTCATTATGCTTCAGAAGATTGGAGACTGTTGAGAATTAGACTTGGGGTTGATTAATGATTGTTCATTGAGTCCCCTATACAGAATTTTATTGTTAATAACCATTTGATCAATAAATATGAGAGATGCCCTCTAAAAAAAAAAATTTATGGGCCTGGCATAACTCAATAACATTTTCAGTTTATTTCATTGATAATAATCAATTCCTATTTTCTACATCTTTTGGAGTCAATTCTGGTCATTTACACCATAGAGATACCCTTAGCTATTTCATAATCCTTTTCAAATGCTTGCTGGCCATCTAGGCCGTTGGACTGCGGGTTTGCAGCCCCTGTGGCAGTTGTACTTGGGCCTCTGTGATCTGATGGAAGAGTGGCAGGCAAGGCCATCCTTTCCAGGCCACCAGTATCCTCTTAATCCACCTCTTAAAACTTGAATGGCATATTGTTACCTTGAGGATAAAGCTCCAGCTCTTCTCAGGCAGAGTCCCTGCCAACCTGTCCACCCTCGCCCCTCGCCACTCTTCCAAACCCACTCAGACCTCACTGGAACTGTCCTGCAGTTTCCTCACTATCTGCCTTTTCCTGTGCTGGGTCTCTGAGCACATTGCTTCCCCTGTTTGGGTCCTCCAGTTCCTCTAACTCCCACTCTTTCTCCTGCAGCTCCACAATTTACCATCCCCTGGGTTACTTAATCCATACTGTGTCTCCACAGCCTCACCCCTCACCTCAACCCTAGCACTTAATGCCAACGAACTGCCATGCAGTTGTTTGTGTTCATCGGACTGGGAATGTCAAAGGCAG